GAACTGCTAATGTTAAAACAGATACCGACTTCCATGACTTGTTCGATGAAATCAACATGTTGCTTTGAACACTTTTCACACAGCTGATCAGAAAAACTTGGCCTTTGCTTTATCCTTTGCTCACTCCAAAAGCTGTGTTTGATTCCAACACTCGTACATGAACGTCTCTCTGTGACCTGCTTTTTCATCCTCTCTCCTCACTTTGCCACACACACACAGACTTTCTCTTTCTTCGAGCGTCACACTGTCACCCTCTCTTCCTCAGTGCTCCTTTAATCTCCTTCGATGTGCCATTAATAAACCTTTTCATTAAGATCCTGTTCTCATTATTCACTGCAATTAAAGCTGTTTAACTGCCATGCAGAACCTGTGCACACTCCCTCTCTCTCTCCCTCTCTCTCTCGCCCGCTCTCTCCTGCTGCCTGTCTTGCTTTGTCTTTGTTCTTAAGACACACAAACACACAGCACACACACACACACACACACACACACACACACACACACACACACACACACACACACACACACAGCACACACACAGCACACGCACGCACACACACACACACACACACACACACCACACACACTCACTCACACACACACACACACACACACACACACACACACACACCAACACCACACACACACACACACACACACACACACACACACACACACACACACACACACACTCAGAGAAGCTCCTGTACTTCAAAGATGGATAATTTTGAATTATGTGTGTGTTTGTGAAGAGTGGTGTGTATTTGTATGCGCACTTCAAAATGACAGGCTTTTTAAAATCAGCTTTTCTACGAATTTTAGAACCTCTGCACACACACACACACACACACACACACACACACACACCACAACACACACCACACACACACACACACACACACACACACACACACACACACACACACACACACACACACACAGAGGTGGTATGGATTAATGGCTTGCTAAATGAGCTGACAGCGAGGACTTGAAGACTTGTCTTCATAAGCTGCTTTTGCATGAGTGAGGCAGGAAGGAAATACGGCATGGGTGGAAAAAAAGAGGAAATAGATGAGAGAGAGAGAAATATGAAAGTTCTAAGAAATCACACACACCAGAAAGCAGGATGTAAAAGGACGATTTAACTTTCAAGATGCTTTAGTGATTTTACAATTGAGAGAAAAACTGTTTTTTTAATGAAGAAGTAAAATGGCACTTTTAATCAGCACGTTGGCTGATGATGTTGGTATTTTTCTACACGTCCATTCACACCATCAGAAGATGAAGCAGCAGGAGCAACTTGGGGTTAAGTGTCTTGCCCAAGGACACATCGGACATGTGGCTGCAGGAGCTGGGGATCAAACCCTTGACCTTCCGGTTGAGAGTTGACGGACTCTACCAACTGACCTATTAAGAGCTCTCATTAGATCATGATTACTTGGGTATTATAAGAACGCCAGTACACTCCTTTTTAGGGTATAAGAGTGGACAAAGTGTGAACAAACACAATTTAAATGCAGCAGTATCGTGCAAATTGCACGGCCAATATTTTTATGTGGTCATGCAAAATAATGAAAACAAGTTGGAAAATGGATGTTTGGATAAGCCAGGTTTTGGGAAAGGCGCGAAAAACAAAAAAAAGAGGAGAGCGAGAAGAGGATGTAAAGTAGTTTGTAAAATCAAGGTTTTGGATCAGAGCCTAATTGTGAAGTGTCTTTGTGCAGGTCGTGTGGTACAGTACTCGACTTGCACGTGTCTGTTCTCCTCTCGAATCCCTCCCGCCTGATTACGAGGGCCCCAATCACACATTCAAGCCTCCCATTAACCAGCAAGACGTAAACATGTGAGAACGCTCACTCGCCTTGAACCAACCATCCATCCTTTCTCCACACCGCCTTTTACCGTTCAGGGTCACAGGGGGCTGGAGCCAATCCCAGCTGTCATTGGTCGAAAGGCGGGTTACACTCTGGACTGTTCACCAGCCAATCACAGGGCTGACATATAGAGACAGACAACCAGACAGCAGTTAACCTAACGAGCATGTCTTTGGACTGTGGGAGGAGGCCGGAGTACCGGAGGAACCCACACATGCACGGGGAACATGCAGACTCCACACAGAGAGGCTCCTGTCAGACGGGGATTCAAACCAGGAACCTCCTCACTGTGAGACAACAGCGCTTACCACTGCAGCACCTTGCAACCCCCCCACATCTGAACCCTTGTGGGAAAATGTATAAAACCAGAATCACTTTACATGATAATTCTGTCCATCATTTAGTGAAATCAGGAATAATAATCTCTCTGTATACTGTTTGATTTGTGGATTTTTAGACTCTCCATGGCATGTTGGTTTAGGGTGGACAATATCATCAATACAAATATTTAATAGTGAATGTTTTTCCTCATAGCAGGAGTTCATTTGAGTATTTTCAGTCAGGGTTGTGTGTGTCCAGCTCAGCTTGGCTCTGAGACAGCACTGTCAGAGTCTCTGATCTTTACCTGTTAGATCTTAATGCTGAATTTGACGCTGGTGACCATCACAGACACTAGAACGGTGAATTGGCATCACAGGGACTGCATTGAAACTGTTTTTTATCAGGTCGATTCCAGTATGTGCCATAGTCTGTATAAGATATGGACGTAGTCTCATTGATGTTACCTAAAGAAGGAAGTCTGTTGATGACCATTGCCGTGTTGGAAAAGCCAACTTTATATCAACCCAGCAGCAGGCAGGGAGGTGGAGCTTAGGTGGGCCTTCAGCCTCCTGGCAAACCGCATGCACGGAGTATGTGGGGATTTGGGGTTAAATTTTAAAGTTAAAGCTGATGTTGCCTACCTTCTGAACGGTGAATGTCCGGATGACGTATTCAGCCAGCGGTTCAGTTTCTATCAGGGTCACCTTGATGTCTCCGTAGACCTCTGTCTCATCCGGCCAGTAGCGCACGCACTTCACCTGGAAAAAAAAACAAAAAAAAAACACCATTTGCATTCAATGCTAAGTCGTGAAATATGAATTAAATGCTGATCGCTATCACCCGTTTGGCAATTAGCCAAGTTTTCCGCACGCATGCACATGTTTTTGAAATAATAAACTCACCCTGCCCACCTCTACCAAATTAGTAACCATGACGATAGAGGCCGAGTTTTCCTGCCAGACCATCCTCCAAAAATCCCTCACCGTCTCCTGCATGGGCCCTGGGACACACACACACACACACACACACACACACACACACACACACACACAGAATAATTAAAGATACAGAAATAATGATGCACACAAACAGAGCTCATCCTCACAGGTATGCACACACACAATCCCTCCCAGGTCACGTAAAAATCAGATAAAGCAGTCCTACAAACACATATTAAACATGCAAACATGAACCCAGAAACACACACACACACACACACACATGCACACACACTATCAATTCCAGATAGTGGTTCGGGGGGGGGTGAGGTAATGGGTCTTAAATTTGTCAGGGGATTTTATACAGCGCTTTAGATTTAGGAGGTTGTGGTAATAGCCTTCCAGAGCGAGAGGACGACATTTACCAGGTGGCTTCACACACACACACACACACACACACACACACACACACACACACACATACACACACACACATTCATACGGACAACACACTTATTACGTCAGTGTAATTACCTTGTGTGGCGATGTAATGTCTGGGTCTGTGGTACCCCTGTGAGACAGAGAGAGAGAGTCAGGCATTAAGATATATCTCTTCATCCTCTCTTGAACTCCATATTTTCCATTTTTCTCTCCATTGTGACCTAATTTTTCGGTTTGTTTTTCTTCTGTTTGTCATTTTATTACTTTCAACATTTTCACTTTTTTTGTCCAGACTATCAACTCTTTCTTTGTCTTCCCAGACGGGGAAAAGGTAAATCTGAACTGCACATTTCTTTCCTTCCCTCAACTACTCTTTATCCAATAATTATTAGAAGCGCTGCTCGTCAACAGACAAGGTAAGCAACAGCTTGGGGGGGCCCCAGATCAGTAGGGGGGCCCCCAAGGGCTTACAGACCTTCAACCACAGGAGTGGCTCAAAATGTGTTTGCAATGACAGTAGGATACCTCCTTCAGGGGTCCCCATATGACAGCATTCCATCTCGTTGTGCTGCTTAGCAAAAACTGTTCACATTTATTGGTACAATACAATATTTATTATGATACAATAGTGATGGAGGCTGATGGACCAAGCAGACGGTAAAGAACGAGTGGCGACGCAGACTAACTGTGGCGTCGCCTCACGTCTTGGCCAAAAAGTTGCACTTGAGCACACCACAAAGACTACAGCTGACGGCCAACCACCACGTACGTTCTGCTCATGCCTGAGAGGAAATAACTCTCCATGCCAGCGGGGGGGCGGTAGTACGTTGTTATGATACGAGAAGACCATTTTCACACGGCTGTCGCTCACCACTCGTATTATAGGTAGCCTACTTATGGAGAATAATGTCTGATAAAAAGTTGAAAATGGCGCTGCCGTTGTCAGTTCTTGGTCTTTTAGTGGAAAAAGAAAAGAAGAGGCGGAGGAGACAAATAAGGAGAAACCGCACTAATGGGTGAAAGCATGGATACTACAGCGGCATGCTCAAGGGGCTTTCCTGAACCTGAGTCGAGAGCTGGAGACAAATGAAACCCTGACTCAGAGCCAACATGTTGAATTGGCCAAAAAAAAAGGCAGATAGGGGCCGACGGGTAGTGACGGAGCCGAACACACTTAAAAAAATAGGGCGACGACCGCTCACTTCCTGCATCCTTCCTTAAAATCGTCCATTTCTACACCCGCCTGCTTCCCTTGCTCCTTCTTAATCCATATTTTCCCTCCTCTTCAATCATTTTTTTATCCAATTCTTACTTTGACAATCCTCCTCCTTTTCTTCTGCAGGAATGAATTGTCACTCTTTCCTCTTTTTTTAATTCCCTCCTCCTCTCTCATTCCTTTATTTCTCACGCCGCCCTTCAATCAGTATCCGCCTCCTCCTCTGACATACTTGCTACCTTCTCTCCTGCATCCTTCCCATTCTATCCTGGCTTGCCTCATTCATCCATCCGTCACATTTCCCTCTCCTTCTCTCTCTTCTTTTTTTTTTTGCCCCCTCTCTTTTAATTTGTCCCATCTCCCCCTGCGGGCGCCGCGCTCCCCTCAGAAGCATAACTCAAGGTCGTTTTCCGAATAAACATCAAATTAAATAATAGAGGGGGTCTTAATCTTCCCTCAGCAGGACACATGAAAAGAGACGACTCTCCAACCAATAATTATCGCCCTCCTGTCCCTGCACCACCCTCCCCCCTCCCTCCTCATGAGACACATAACCTTGTAATGAAAGAAACATTTATCACTTTCATTTTGTCATTAAGCGCCGCTGATGTAAGAACGGTGTTATCCTCACTCAGATATCAGGATCTCCATTGTTTCAGTTTTGTTTTTACATAAATCCAAATTAATTTGTGCTCTTATTAAAACAGCCGGCTGCGAGCGAGAGAGATGAGTTTGATAAATGAAGCAAAACGCCTACGGGGCAGACAGAACCAGAAGGAAGGAGCAGAGAAAGCACAATACACGGGCGTACCGGAGGATAGGTGAGAAAACAAGATGAAAGAGATCATCAGAGAGAAGAAGGTGAAGGGACACATGAAATTGAAGAAATGAGGAAAAGAGTGCCTGGATGGGAGGAAAGAATGATGATAGAAATCAATTCGACTACTCATAAGCATCCAGGTAATTGTTTTTAAAAATAGGTAAATGGGTCTCAGGTGGTTCTATTTGGTCTGGCAGCCTCGTTGAATTCATCCAAGGACATACGCTGTCTGTGTTTGTGTGTGCAGCTGAACGGATGTCTGCATCTTTATACAATTTTAGATAAAGAAAAAGAAAGCTTGAGTTGCACAAATAGGTCGGAGATATGGACTAGCTTAAAAGTTACCATGTTCCCATTATATGATCAGACATTAAGGAAACATGCTATGTTGAAGTGCTGGCTTCTCTGACAACAATGCAGCAGCCAGTATGTCCTCCTTCTAACTTTAGATTCTGCTCCTGAATGCTCTGGATTTGTTTGGACCAGAGAAGGTAGGCGGTTTTAAGGCACCCCCACACAGCCGTTTTGGACGCCCCTCGGTTTGCCAGATATGAGAGCAGTTATCAGGTCAAACCAACAGGTGTTGCAGTGATGGAAGAAGGCAAGAGAACTGGTTCAGATAGAAGTGATTGTACCCGACCTAAAAAGCCTCTGCATGTTTCTAATAAGCTCCACGAGCAGAAACGTGCTCAAACTAGGATCAATATTGGAGATGCTTTTAAAAAATGGAGAGAGGTTTGAACGCAGAAAGGTTTACACTGAAGCTTCAGTGTCCACCACATGGCAACCTGCGTGAGCATCAACTCTAGAGAGGAGGGGGCGGGGGGAGACAGCTCTCTGTAATGTTTACAATCTGGACTGCAGTACCCATTTTAAACACTATGAGTCAGAGTTACATACTGCTCCTTTAATACACTTGTTGTTGGGAGTAAATATAGAAAGTAGGTTCAAAAAGGTAATGCATTGAATTAGGGTAAACATAACCAGTCCATCATGTGTGTGTGTGTGTGTGTGTGTGTGTGTGTGTGTGTGTGTGTGTGTGTGTGTGTGTGTGTGTGCGCGTAGACACTCACGTCGATGTAGTTGGCGTTGATGTAGTCAGAGTGGGGGTCTCCGTCCAGCAACTGCAGGCGGACTCTGGTGTGATCGTCTGTGGGGTCAAATAGCAGAAAAATACAACAGGCCTAAAGTTACATTTACCCACAGATCTGAGCAGCTAACTGACGGGAGGGGAAGACGCCATGGAGCCACGGTTCGGAGACTGTCCGAATCCAGAAATATGACACAACTCGACATTTGTTGGAGTTGTCTTAAATGATCCCATATTTACATTTACCTGCAGAGTTATCTCGTGTTTTTTTTTACGACTGTCTGTTTCAGTAGCATATAGGGATTATCTGAGCAAACAGAGAAGCTGTTTTAAAAACAAAAGAGAACAAGATTCAATCACGGCTGCTGGTTTCTTCTACCAATCAGAGCCGTCGCTTCCAGACCCTAACAAAGAAGATTTATCCTAACCTAAACCAAACCATAACATGCAATATCACAAATACAATCACAACTTCTGAGTAACCGTCTGCACAAAAACATAATTAAACAACACAAATATCAAGGGGTTGGTTCTGCATGGTTCATGGTTTGAGTATGAACTCCTGCAGTTCCTCGAGTGTCCACTAGAGGCTGGCTGCAGAAGCACAGGAAGTCACACACACACCCATTCTAAAAAGCCTGTTTTTACAGCAGAGATTAACATGTTTACAACCCGGTTCCAAAAAACAAATAGGTCTGATTGGCTCATGTCTCGATCGACACACACTGTACGGGGGGTGAATGTTTTGATGACTCATCTGTTTTGATTTGATGAAGGATAAGAGATATTCACAATAAGGAGTCTATCAGATAACAGATGGGTGACGTCACTCAGGTTTCAAACATTAATATTTAAAGACTATTTTTGCTCCAACCACAGAGCCAAACTGGCTCCCCCTGCAAATACTTTTATTTCTTTTCAGACAGAACTCGGTGTATTTCATGGTAAAACCCAAAATGGTGGACATATACACAAAACAAAGGCGACTACAAAAATGTTCCTGCAGATTTTCAGACTGTAGTTTCAAACATGTTTAGATACATTAGGCAAGCAAACAAAATGTGACCTCCTCAGGCTTTAGAAATAGTTATTGATCACCAATTTTTGCTGGAAATTATGCATTTAACACTCTTTATTTACATGATGGAGTTTATGATAAAACGCCTTCAGTACTACTTCAGCTTCCTGCTTTCAGTCAGTACATGTCACCTAATCCAAATCTTCCTGCTCCTTCCCCCCCCCCTCCCCCGTCTTATCTGAATGTCAATTATTTTGTCCTGTGCTCTAATAACCATCCATAGCATCGGGGCTCACATTGGGCTGATTATGTCTAATGGCAGCGGTGATTTTGTTTAGTCGTAACGTGGCAACGGCAGGTAATTGCAGATGAAGCAGACGTGATTTAGTCTGATTATCTCGTATTTTTCTCTCGTCTTCTCGTTCCTTCTTTTTTTTTTTGTGTGCCGATGTGCTCCGTCAGTTTTTTATTTTTCTGCTACATGCGAGTACATTTTAATGATGCTTCTGCTTCAATTAAGAATAATTTCTTATTGTTGCTGTTCTTGTTGTGTTCTTGCTCCGTGTTGTGTTGTTTTTCAATCTATGAGGAGGGGATGACGTCAGTATGGGAGAGAGAGAAAACAGGAAGGTGTGACAAAGAAAGATGAGAGAAAAAGTTGAGCTGGAGCAGAAATTTGGAGGTTTGAAGGATGAGGTAGAAAGACAGTAGAGGCCTGGAGATGGAAAGAAAAATCTAGCAATAGAGAGAAAAATAGGAGAAAAAGGATCACCTGTCTGTTCTGTCTGTGTCTTTGAAGCCACTGAAATGCTAATGTAGTGACTCCACTCATTGATGCAAAGCTACAGCGGGGTGCAGCGCTTACAGCAAGTGCACAGCAAGCTAGCCACGGTTAGCCTTCGAGCTAGTATGTTAGCTGTGGGGGAGATTTCAGCACTGTGTAAGAAATGAGACATCAACTAGTTCAGCTTTCAGCTTTTGAAGAATTTTACCTCTCAAACTTCATAGGTCGGTATATTTTTTAGAAGCTAATTGTGCCCTGAAATAAAATACTTTAATGCGACGGCTCAACCTTCAGGCCTTCAGCTCTGTGTTGCCTTAAAAGTTTTTCTGAGAGCAGTTAAACCATGCGCGTGTGTGTGTTCGATGAATCATCCCTTCACTTGAAACCCATTTCCTCCTCCGGGGGGAAATCATTTTGTCAAGCAGGCATTAACTTCATTTTGTTTTTGTGAATATCTTTGATTGGATGTGTGAATTTTCTAGTCGCGTCGGGCACAAACAAGAGGCTTCCCGTCGAGTCGAAATAATCAGAAGCGGCTGAAAATTGCTTATTTAACAAGCAAGATCGCTCACAGCATTTTTTTTTTGATAAACTGTTGCTCTGATGAAGACAGAATGAAATCAACAGAACAATCAAAAGGTTAAAAAAAAGAGCAAAACTGAAGGCTGCAGAGTGAGCTAGTGCCATAAAGCCGTGTGCGCTTCTAGTTACATAGTGACTAAAAACAGGAGACCAGCGCGTTCTGTGGACATGAGAGCAATGCCATTCTCCCTGTTGAAAGCTGTTAGATCACATTCAAACCACTATTTTAGGGTGTTTTTTTAAAACCAGAATCCCACTGTGACATCACAAGGAGAGCAAATTTTAAACGGAGCATTTTTTCTCTGTGTTGTAAGACTTATGCAGACCACAAACAAAGGACTGGATGGGTTTATTTCACATTTTGTGGGTCAGTAGACACTCAGGTTACCCAAATATATGTTCAAAAACACTGTAGAAGTGGCTTTTTCATAATATGTCAACTTTAAAAAAACAAAACACACTGAATGCTGCAGAAGTAATGGCTGCAACCCTCGTGCTGCACAACATCACTTCCAGGACAGAAACCCAAATCACGTTCTTCTGTTGCTGTGAAGATAACTTTCTCCACTGGCACTCAATAAATTAAAAAAAAAAAAAAACATCACAGAGCACGTCTCATTAATACAGAACAGCTGCATGTAATATAAATCATTACGATGGATTCCGTCCTTATTATCATTTCCAAGGATCACCTTGAGGAGAATTATTTGTACAGATTGTATCAGAAATCATTTTCCAGCTTTGGCTGAGCGGCAACAATGACGGCAGCATGACTCCATTCTGCCGGTACACGATACTGCCATCAGCTATCAGCTCACACACACACACACACACAGCCTGCATGTAAAAACAAACACAACAGGGGGCAGTCTGTCAGCTTTCTGCTCTCACTTTCTCTCTTACACCTTCTTCATCACCTGCTTTTTCTTTGTCTCATCTTCCTCTTCTTCCAATTTCTCCCTTTTCCTGTCTGCCTTCCCCACCTCTCCTTCACCTCACCCTCCCTTGTCCTCCTCCATTTACCGTTTTATCTCCCTCTCCCTCTCCCACTCTCCCTCTCCCCTGCCCCACACCGTCTCGCTCCCTCAGACAGCATTAATTACGCAGGGCTATAGTGTCAGGCTGTCATAACACGGGAGCCACGGATTTGAGGCTGGACGGAGGGGAGGGGCCCCTCTCCTCTTCTCTCTGCCCAAGGAGGGGAGCTTCTAATTGGGCTAAGATGGCAGGAGGCACTGGCTTGCGGATGCTGTTGATCTGGACACAGGCCACAGGTTTTGAGAGTGTGAGCTCAAGTGTGAGAGAGCAAGAGATACAGATTGGAATATTTCTGTTAATTAGTGCAGGTGTGCGTAACCTAAGAGCAGAGGAAGTTTAAAAAGAGGAAAACAAATATTTGTAACACTAAAGAGGAACTAAACTCGTTACATACTGTACGTTTGCACATGCACACTAAAACAATTAGCATGGCTAGCTTTAGTAGCACTGGACTCAGAGGGTCCTAGTCTTAGTCTGCACATGTATGTTGCACAAGAGTAGCCTAAACACACACTAGTCCAAAACACACACAAGTTTTTTTTTTTTTTGCAGCAACAAGACTTTACTCGTCTATGTTAGCATCTAAATGCTAAGCTTTACTAAACCCTGTTCTGTTCCCTTCATGTAGGATAAGAGCATCACAGCTTTCTCTCTTTATGTGCACTCATATGTTGTTGATGCTTTACAGTTTGTTTGTATCCATACAGACTATCATGTTGACTCTTGCCATCTTTACATTGACTTTGTATGGAATAGTGCTGCAGAGGAATGGCTTGACTTTGGTCTGAACACATCTTTAGATCTGTGTCTTGATATAGAAATAACCTTTCTATCTGCACTCTGGCTCATGTTGGAATCTGCAGCACTGGAGCATCAACAAAGTCATCAGAAGAAGCTGTGATGTCCAAGGGCAAAGGGTCACAGTCCCATTACTCATTAATGAGCTCCCCTCCTCTGCTGAGTCTCTCTCTCCTCATAACCATGCACCTCTCTCCTCTCCTCTCCTCTCCTCTCCTCTCCTCTCCACTCCTCTCCACTCCTCTCCTTTCCCTTCTCCTCTCCTCTCCTGTCCTCTCCTCTTCTCTCCTCTCCCCTCTCCTCCTCTCCACTCCATGTCATTATCCCGCCATCCACTGTAAAAGTTTAGCTGCGGAGAACTTGTTAACTCGAGGGGTCAAATATAATGTAATGATAAAATAGACTTGTGTATGTTTTTATCTAGGCGAGATTCACAGGAGCAGCTGAATGCAGCAGAGAGCTGTAATTTAAAGACATCAGATCGGATAATTTGTGCTCGCAGCCGCTGCACCCAGACGTCCCAGGACTGCAGCAACCATGAGCAGCTCCTGAAAATCAAAGGTCATGAAGAGTTTTTATGTTTCAAACTGGAGTCCTGAAAGATCTCAATCAGAGCAGGAGCTCATCCTGAGCATCATCTCGCTCCAGTTCTGTGAATAAACGGCTTTTTTATCGCTTCACGAGGAGAGTGTCGTCCTCAAATTGTTCTTGTTAGATGAGGCATAAAGACATTTAGGAGTTACTTAATGATGGTGATATAATGCAGAAACCCTCTGCATTGGAACTGATGATATTCTTCTACTCTTATTGGCCAGGACGGGATCATATTTACAGGCAACA